CTCTCCGTTCAACCAACCAAAAAATACGAGGCATGCGTGCACCGTGTAACAGCACCCCTACTTCCCTCTCCCGAAAAAAATCCACCCACCTCTCCTCTCCCTTCATACCCCACAGCAACCGTCTCCGGACCTTAAGACTCTGTCTGGTGCTTCGCTAGCTGTGCCTGGTACTGCGCTAGCTCCAGCTGCATCTTCAACTTCTTTAGTTCGAAGTCCTGTAGGTCCTGCCGCTCCCGCCTCTCGTCGTCCCGCTCGTCCTTCCGCGCCTTCCTCTCCCGGTCCCACTGCTCTTGGCGGAGTTCCCTCTCCCTCTCCCTCTCCTCCTTACGCTGCTGCTCGGCAAAGTCCCTGTCCTCCTTGCGCACTTGCGCAGCCTCCTTCTTCTCGTCCGAACGCCTACGGTCCTTGAACTCTTCCCGCTGCAACTGGAGCTCAAAAGCCTTATCCTGCTTCTGCGACGCCTCCCTCATCATCCTGCGGGGTTCAGTCAAGACAACAGGCGGAGAGGGACAGACGAGAGAGGCACAGACGAGACAACTGTTAGTCGGTATAAAGAGGCACAGCTATCTCAACGTACAAGTACCGACAATTCAGACGTCATCGAGCTTGCATCGAGCTTGGGTGCCAACCAAGCGACCATCCAACTGCCGTTCAAGTCGATCCGTAATTTACGTTCACCTCATGCCAACACGAAAGCCAACGTGGGAGCTCAAAGGCCGTGTCCCGACCCCAGGACATGTGCTGAAAAACAGTTGCAAAAATCATGTCTCATCAGTCATTTACTGAAATCACTGACATCCCACAAAGACAGTCCTCGTCCGTACTTACTGCAGAAGTCCATCCTCGCTCGCACGACTTCCNTGTCCCTCGACGTGGCACGCCTGCAGCCGCACCTGATCGAGTTTGCGGAAGCAATCTTCAACTCCGGCTGTCCTCTCACTCACTGTTGGGGTTTTATCGATGGCACCGTGCGTGGCATTGCAAGGTGAAGTCCGACTCAACGGTTTCTGGCGTTTTGCTACATACTGCAGAGAGTAGCTGCGTGATTCCCCCCGCGGATTGCTTTTCCCGCCGCGTATCCAACGCAGCATCAGCAGGCCATCTTGTACGTTCCTCGAGTTTTGCGACGCACTCACTAGACCATATGTTCATCTGTGTGGAACTGTCATGTGATTGCGCGTGCACATGATTGATTGCGATTTACCACGAGGCTGCAACATGCGATGAAGTTTTAGCAGAACGATGAAATACAGCAGCACTGTTGGGTGTATGTCTTGACCTGTGTTGTTGGTGGCCCATCCTTCCGTACGCCCAAAACTGATTCGCAGGCCCAAGTACTGGCAGCGACTGTTCTACAATGGGCACAAGAGGAAGCACGCAATGAAGTTCCAAGGGGTAATTACACCAGACGGGCTATTTGTGGATCTGTGGGGCCCCGTGGCGGGGACACGTCATCACAGCTTTATTCTAGCGCAGTTTGGGTTGATGGAGAAGTTGTCGATGCAAAACAGCCCTATAGGCCATCCGTACTATTTGTACGGAGATCCGGCGTATGGACTGAGTAACCACCTTGTCTGTCCTTTTAGCGCGTCAAGTGCGGGCCCTCTAACGCCAGAGATGGCCGACTTCAACAAGCGTATGAGCCACTGCCGCGTAACGGTGGAGTGGGGATTCAAAGAGATGACCGGCAAGTGGGCCTTTGTGAGCATGAAGCCGCAGCAGAAATTCTTGCTAAGCCCTGTCGCCAAGCAGTACCGGGTAGCCACTCTGCTTTCTAACTGGCACTCATGCATGAACGGGGGCAACGAGATTTCGCAATACTTTGGCGTGGTGCCACCCACTTTCGAGGAGTACGTAGCGGTGTAAATCATGATGCACCCACGTTGTGTGATAATTCTAGGCCGCTTCGGTGTTCCAGGCGTAAACCAAGACAAATAGCCGTTTGCTGGCGTGAGCAAGTCGCGCACGATAAGCTTTCCAATTTTATGTGAGTTTCGAATGATCAGCGCCAAGATTATTTTTTCTCCTTGGTCGTTTAGGTGGGCTAACGCGGGCGATGCAGAGGGCAGGCACGGACGGTGTATGTATATCGTACGGATGTAAAAGCATTGCGTAACAATCGGATGCCGCGTTTTTTGGGGACAGTTAGTTAGGACGGTTTGAACGGTTAACTTCTTGGGAGTTAAAGTGTTTGGTGCGAAGAAGTCGTCTCCTCCTTGCTGGCCATTTATTATGTGGGCAAACGCGAGCGGATGCATAGGGGAAGTACGGAATGTATCGTGCGGGGGAAGCACTGCGCAAAAGACAGACGCCACTTGTTGAATGCCAGTTTCATTTTTCAATTGTTCCTCCTGATAAAACCCTCCCCAGAACAGGCAAGCCTCCCCCGAAAAAAACGCGCAAGGCGCAACGGATGCCACAAATTTTTTTTGAAGAGCCTGCTGTTGAAAAAAGAAAACACATGCAACGCATGCCCTAGCAACTGCAGCAGCAGCAAGGGCGAAAACCCATTCCCATTTTTCCCTACCCCGAACAGGCAAGCCCCCCCGAAAAAAACGCGCAAGGCGCAATGGATGCCATGATTTTTTTTTTAAGAGCCTGCTGTTGAAAAAAAAAAAACACATGCAACGCATGCCCTAGCAACTGCAGCAGCAGCAAGGGCGAAAACCCATTCCCATTTTTCCCTACCCCGAACAGGCAAGCCCCCCCGAAAAAAACGCGCAAGGCGCAATGGATGCCATGATTTTTTTTTTAAGAGCCTGCTGTTGAAAAAAAAAAAACACATGCAACGCATGCCCTAGCAACTGCAGCAACAGCAACCCCAACCAGTTAGCTAGTTATTGTTGCCCTTCGCCTTCGCCAGGTCTACCTGGAATTGCATTATCCTGATTTGGTGATCACGATCTTCCCTTTGCTCTGCCCGTGCAGTCGCCCTCTCCCTTTCACGCTCTTGTCTGTCGTGTTTCCTTTCAGCTTCCCGCATTGCACTCTCGTGGGCCATCATGTCCAGGAGCTCTTGCCTCCTCCCTACCTCTCGTTTAGCTTCCGCCGCCCGCCTCCTCTCGTCCTCTTCACGTCTCTGATCGGCGAGTGACCGAGCGTCAGCCACCTGTCGCTCCATGAAGCTGGGACACGTGGCACAACGGCGCAAGAGAGACACCAGGGTAGGATAAGCTCTGGCACCTCCCTGATGGAGTAGCCAACAATATTACTGCTACGACACTTCTCTGGTACAGGTTACGTCCACCAAAAGAATCTAACAATAATGCACAGCGTATACCACACGAAGGAAATAGAGAACCAAGACACGGGCAGAGTCGACGAACAACCTTACCTATCTAGCCCATCCTCGGCGAGCTTAATGGTCTTGGCACGGGGCTTCCTTCCACGGTTTCCCGAAGGTCCACTCGCCCCCCCTGAAGCGTGGCTGCCTGACATGGCGTGCGCACCCCCCACTCTTGCAGAACCGGGCCTGGATGTCTGACCGGCGGCGGACAGCCAGGAGTTCGTCACGCCGGCGCCGAGCACCAACAACGAAGCCACCCGCTTCGTAACCTGAAGCACCTTGTCCGGCGTAACACGATCTATCGGCCATCCGCCGTGAAACCAATTCGCATCCGGCAGGCTGTGGAAGTCCATTTTTTCCACGCCGTAGAGCTCGAGCAGTTTAAACATGACCGACTCGTCAAACCCATCAAACCCGGGCAGCTCACAATCCTCTTCACCAAGACGATCCATGTACTGCTGGACGCTGTCTCCGTCGCGCTGGATACAAAGCCTTGCGTCGAGTAGTACCACCATCATGGCCACGGCCCTTTCCGGCTGAACTTCGTCGGGCGTGAAGCCCGTGTTGAGGAAGTAGTCCGCCTCCTCCGTGGTGACCCCGGCACTTTCCGCAAGCATCGGAATGGTCAGCGACCCCATGTGCTTCACCAAGTCGCCAAGCGGTGGAACCTTCCTCGATGGCCCGCTCCCCGCGGGCGAGAAGTCGTCGTCTAGCCCGCCCGTACTCATGGTCGGGCTCGATCGACCGCTGGCAGCGCCACCCGCCGAAGCCTCCGACGCGGGCCTCGCCCCCCCGATGCTGCTGGCCGGACTCACCCAACCGCTGGCACGGCCACCGTCCACTGCACCGGAGCGGGAACCCAACGCGATGTTGTCGGCGGCAACAGCTTCTTGGAATGATGTAGCCTTCGCGCCCGGCCCGCATCGGGCGTTGCCCTGGTTGATGGCCCACATCCCCATCGCGGAGTGCGAGGCCGCCTGGTCGGCTTTCTTCTGCTTGGTCTCCTCCGAGTCATGCCTCGCGGCAGCCTTCGCGTCCACTATCGCGGTCAGAACTTTGTCCTGTGCGGCACATCGCGGACAAGAAGCAACAGCGGCGCGGCATCTCGTCAGCTCTACGACTTACAAAGTGCATCACTAGCGTCGGCGATAGCTATATGCATCGTCTGTTTTGTACTTCCGTGTCAACACTGCTACGTCACGCCCCTAGACAATACAGAGTGGGAGTGATGTTTTGATTTTGTGGGTGAAGGACCGTCTCAGCAAGCTAACTCTCTGCACGTTTTGCGTCGCCTGGCGTGTAGCACTCGGGCTTTTGTGCTGTCTATCTACTTCTGTCTTTCTTTTGTCATGCTGCGCATTTTCAGTTGCTTACGGCTAGCCCTGTGCGTACCCCTCTTATCTGCAAGTGTAACGTTGGTGAGGACGGCAGGCATTTTCTTCGGTCGGGACAGCGCAGGTGTTTCACGATACTCTATGGATTGTGGATTCTCCATGTGCAGCTCTTCGTGCCCGTCTTGTTTCGACTGTGCCATGATCGTGTACACTCAGGCTTGCGCCCGTCACAAAAGGTAGAGATAGCTTACTGGCTCTGGACCCCTCACCAGCTGGACCTTGGTATTCTTCTCTACGTCGTCCTCCGAGCCACTCTCAGCAGTGCCGGCTCCGGAGTCCCGCAGGGCTTTACCATCGCTCTTGCTCTGGTCGTCAACGATCTTGTCGTAGCGATGCTTGCAAATTGAAGACGACTTCTCCTTGAACATCCTGACCAAGGGCTCCCGGTTGAGAGTCTTCCAGCAGGCGTCCCACCTTTCGCCGACCGAACGCCCGCTCCCATTCACTTTCCACACTTCGTGCTGCAGACCTGTAGAGGACAAGAAGGGTGGGAGCGCCTTCGAATGTCGTAGTGGGGACTTGCTTCGGCTCCATTTTTACACCAGATACATGTGCATTTTGAGTAGAGGAGGGAGCATAGGTCTCGCCAGTAAACGAGTCCGTGAACACCGGCCGTCTTGCAGCGCACGGAATGGCTATTGCGCTTGTTGTCAACTGCACCGGGTCCGCGGTGCTTCGCAGTAGTTGTTTCGAAATTCTTTCGGGTAGACTGCATCTACTGTGGCGACAGCGGGATGCAGGATAAGTAACGCTGCGGGCAACCCCTTATAACATGATGCAACATGATGTGCCACGGGTAGACTGCCTAACCTGTGGGACGCAGCAGCGGATCCGCGCCCACCATAATATCTGGGCTATGTGCCGTTGTGTAGCGAAAATGTACTAGTCGAGTACACCTTGCGCTTACAATTTTGTGTGCACCTTTGTCCTGCTGGTTCCATCTAAAGGCGACATGTGACATTCCTTGCAAGTAGACTGCATCTACTGGGAGATGCAGCGGCTTTGTACGCCCAGATAACTCGTCGCTGCTTTTAAATTTTAAACATGATGCCACATGTGACGTGACGTGTATTTTTTCCACGTCGGAACCAGTGCAAGAAAGTATCAGCTTCTTCGCCAAGCAAGACTTGTATCTCCCCTACGAACACCGAATATAGCTTTGTGTTCCTACCCTACTCCGCTGCTATTCGATTGAATCTTTCGTATATGTTGTGCACTCGTTGCACCCTCGTTGCCAAGGATCAATAATCTGGTTCGAAGTGGCTGTCTCTTTTACAGCAGTTCAAGAACAGCGTGCATGTGTGCGCGCGAACATGGGTCGCTCTCTCAACCCCAGCAAAGGAAACAACTAACTCCAGCACAGGAAATCGCACCAGTACGGAGACAGCAAGTACGTATACCACTGCTGTGGCCGGCTGCTCCTGCAGTGCTGTGTCGCGTTCGGAGCGTATGGGGGTGGGGTTTGGGGAGGGAACACATCCAAACCGCCTCTCTCTAGAAAATCAGAACATAACCCTTGCGCGGGGACAGACTCACCCGCCCTTGCCAGCGCCAAGTCGTAAGTAGGAGGCCACTTCGTGCTCTTCCTAACCCTGGCCTGCTTTGCTGCTGGTGCTGCCACGACTTGGACATCATCGTCGCCTCGCCCGGCCGCTTGCTCCTCTCCTCCCCCTGCCTCGAGGTCTCGGGCGTGCTGCTGGCCTAGAGCCGCAAAGCCCACCCGACCGGCTGCCCGTGCCACCTCCCTCCTGGTAACCTCGTCGCGCGCCAGATCCAGGGCCTTTGCGCTGGGCGCTGGCCTTCTCTTTGGGCGGGTGCTGGACATGTTCGTAGCAGACTGCTGTGTGTGCGTGCGGGTCTGTTGTGGTGGTGGTGGCTGGTGTGGGTGTGTTGTTTCGAAGAAAGTTGCTTAAATAGTTTTCTTGGCAAAATTTTCCGCAAAACGAGCCTCGCTCCGCTCTAGAATCGAAATATTTTTTCCCTATTTCGGGTTCTGGCGAGACTGTCGGGAACGATCCTGGGAACGATGGCTTAACTGGAAATATATTTCCTTAAATAATTTTTTTTTGGGGTCCGAAACTGTCAAATGATGGAACTCTGGGTCCAATCCACAACACCAACCATCGAACACTTGACATTGTATCCAGCCTTCAGCGGAGCGGCGGGGCGCCTTTGCGCACCCGCCGCGAAGCCCCTTGTACATACATACATGCAGGTTGCAAGTTGGAGATGTAGCTACATAGCACATCTGTCTGTTTGTCTCCTTCTGAGTGGTGGATATGCATGCATGTGGGGGTCCCTCTCTCTCTATCTGGCTGTGCTTGTGACCTTTTTGCTCGGGGTTGATTGCTGTTGCACGCTGCCCGAGAGCCACGAGCGGGAGGCGCCAATGACTGGTATAGACCACGCACAAAACAACGACCAGGCGGCGACGGGCTCGAGAAAAACAAGCGCGTCGATAGTCGAAAGCCGAAAAAGCTCCCCGAAAAATAATAAAACAGCAGGGAGGCGAGGCGGAGGAATCAATCATCATGTGTTCGGCGAATCGGCACAAGAATGGCACAGCAGCAGCAAACACACACGCCGATATTGACCACGCACAAAACGACCAGGCGGCGACGGGCTCGAGAAAAACAAGCGCGTCGAGGAGAGCCGAGAGCCGAAAAAGCTCTAGACTCCAAAAAAAAAAAGGCGAGGCGGAGGAATCAATTCGTGGTGTGTTCGGTCGGTCGTTCGGTGCAGGTGGAGTTAGCTTGGAAGAGGAGACACAGCGTGGCGGGTGTCGATTGATCGGTCGGTCTGCCAGGCTCTCCCCTGCTCGGAGTCCCGATTGTGTGCCTCGTCAGCTGTGATCCAAAAAAATCCCAGAGCACAAGCGCAAGAGGGCCGCCGCGCGCGCACTGCTTCAAGTGGGTCAGGGTCTGTCTAGCTCCGAACCGGGGACCGCCACCATCATCAATAGAAACCTCTTTTGCTCAAGATCTCACGCGGAACAAACACAAGGACTTCAGACAACAGGGATCCGAACGAAATGGGGTGAGATGTTGACATGGGCAGAGCTGCTGATGACGATCTGGTGGTTGAGTGGCAGAGGAAGGTATGGATATTTGTTTGTCGCCAACCAGCCTGTCTCGTTTCTCACGCTTGGTGCAAACATATATATGCATAGGTTGAGGTTGTTGAGAAGACGCGGCCGGCCATGTCTCGCCGAGAGAGAAGGAGCAAATCACGAGACTCGCATGATTGTCAGGCAACCATCCATGCCGAGGTTGCCTCATGCCTTTGTGGGCCCGCCTCGTTGTGGCGCAAAGGGTGCAGCAAGGCGACAAACGGTGGCCACTCGAACGGGTGTGTATCATCGAAACTTCTCCCGCCGTAGAGTGCGATATCTCCATCAAATCTCCCAACAAACAGCCGCTTCCGCCATGTGATCACGCGCCTAAAACTGCTGTGCAGCAGACCTGCCCTCAACCACATGCGTCGCGCGTTGGTGTGCTGTAGCTACACGAACGTGGCACCCTCAGCTGTTTAATCTATTGGTGCGTATATCTGCAGTGTAGTTGACGATGTAGTATGGGGTGAAGTGAGGCCTCGATCGTGCTACGGCACGGGACGAGATTTTGGGGGTGGCAACCGCCGTGAGCGCTCGTTCTTTTGAACTTGTTTGGAAATGACCCGCCGCCCTGCCCTTACATGTAGATTATTATGTGTTTTTTCTCTCTTGATGTGCTGTACGGGCCAATCGCACGGGCGTGCGATCGATTCCAAGACCGATTGCTGCACAAACCAAAGGCGATCCGAACCCAGATCTACATACACGTGCATGAGAAGCTCTCCATCGACGAGATCTTGCGAAATCCCCTTGTGACGCATTGGCGGCCTCTTCAAATATAGACTATATTGGAACGACTATGCTTTGAAAATCGATCGCGCTTCCGACATTTCCCTTAATTGTTGTTGTCCTCACATTAATTACTTCCGACGGTATGCAACTACACGCGCCGGTAAACATGGGCGGGGAGGGAGCTGATTCTTAACATCAATAATAGGGGTTGAAGTGCTACAACAACGTGGTTCGGTGTTCTCCGTATCATACTTGAAAACCCCCAAGACGATGTCTCGTGCGTCGTTTCATCGCAAACCCTACTGCTGGAACGTCGATCGGCAACATATGGTAGTCTATTTGCCATGTGCAAGGGATGCCCCTCTGGATTGCACCTGTGAAAAATCAAGTCAATTACTGTAAGTCATAAAGGAGTTGATGCACGATGAAAAAAGCAGCGGTCAGCAGAAATACTCAGAGTGACCAGCCCACCGCTCATGACTGCCAGGGTGCCATTTCTGACGTTTCCCAAGCTCAAAATATTAACTCCACAAGTAATTCCACTGGAGAGGGCTGATGAGAGCGCAACAGCTGTGTCACTCAGGGGTGAAGATCATAATAAAAGCAGGCTCACAACTGGCTGCCAGCTGACGTTTTTCCAAGCCCGACAGCTCACAGGAGCTGTATCGTGTTTTGGCTCGCGAAAGTATCCAGCGCACCTCAACCAACCAAAAGGAAAACTTTTTTTCCAAATCTAAATACAGGCCAGGCCAGGCAGCCTTGTTTACGACTGTTCGCTGTGAGACCTGTACATCCGCGATGTTGTCTGTTGGCCTCTGCCCAGTGCTCCCGCAGGCGCTGCATTCACTGCTTTCGCATGCACCTCGTACACTCTTTTACTGTTAATTCAACCACAAATTCAATCATGCCCGTGCGCAAGCGAGATGCAGTAAGTCGCTCGGCGAAATCCGTGCTCGGCGATCAAACATCAAACCTTGCGGCAGTTTTCTGCGCGTGCAAGATATCCGCAACAAGATGGTACCCTTCTCACTTCGACTCTAGTCTGGTATGCGCGTATGATCGCACTGTGACCTCGTTCGGTGTAATGCTACATCGATGTGGTGCCACATTGTTCTCTGTGTCTCTCTCCCTCTCTCTTCATTACTGCTGTTGTGTGCAGTCGCTCGATGGCATCCTTCGTCGTCAACCATTCAAAGATACTGCTGTAGAGAGAGCGCATCATCCGCGCGCGCGAGAGATGTTGTACATAACTCTCCGTGAAACGCACGTGTGCGTATACGGTACCCGCTCATGCGGAGATGGAAATACCGCATCAGCAGCCATTGTGACTAGTTTCGACCATTCAGGTGCTGCTGATCACCCGCTGGGTCTTGGTGCTCTCCCTTTCTCACTCGCATCTCAAGGCACAACTGCCCCCCCCCCTGCTCTTGCTTGTGGTATTGACATGCCTGCAGCAATCCGCTCAAGGTATATCTAGTCGCTCGGAATACGAACACGGAATTCCTGCTCTCGTTCCAGTCAACCATGCATGCGTACAATGAAGTCCGCAGTTAGTCCTTTTACGTTTGGCTCCCCGTGATTGTGTTCAGGGGTGGAATGAATCGGTCGCAGATTCCTCCCCCCCAACGCTGCACCATTGCACCAACCCCCCACTAGTTAGTGATGACGTTCCATTCCAATGTATCGCTGGTTGGTTGCCATGTTTGCGTGTTTGCTTGTTCGTGTTAGTCGTCTTTCCACCGTGTGCCTTTTTCTGTCTCATATTTCTTGTTATTTTCGGCCTGGTAAGGACACCAGGCTTCCCTCGTTGGGGGGAGGCCCAGGTCGCCGTAGTCTTTGCCCACTACTGAGGGCTGGCAGTTCTCTTCGTTGAGATTTAGAGAGGGGAGGGTCTCGGAAGAGAGAGACAAGAGAGAGAGTGCCGCCGAAGGGGCGAGGGAGACGAAGCCCGAGGGTCTCTCTCGTATTCCCAAGCTCCTCAGGTGGCGCCAAGAGGGACGCATCCATTGTCGGGTCTCTTGCTGATCAACCATCAGTAAGATCCTCCGTCCGGATCGTATCTTGGTCGTACTTTTGTATGTGCAACAACAATGGTTTAAGCACTTGTACACCTGTCATCCACACTGGTGCTGGTACCTTACCCTTTGAGTTTTTTCATTAGGCGGGTGTGGGAAGCGTCCTCCTTTATTTTTGTTTTTGTTTGATTTTGATCGGTTTCCGAGGGCTCTTTTCTCGAACGGTCGTTGCGGTAGCTGTTCTTTTCTTTCTATCATTTTGTTTTCTTTTTCCGAGTGGTTTGTGCCCTATTTTTGTTTTGTTTCCCCGCGGTGTCGTATGTGCCGGGTTTTGAGACCACGGGCTCCCCATTTTTTGTGGACTATGGAGCCAATGTGAGAAACAACAACAACAACAAACAACTGGTCCCTTTTTGTCCTCGCTATTTTTCGTTTTATTTTCTCTTTCCTTCCTGTTTCCTTTCATTTTTCTCTTTTTCTCTCATTTTCTCTCTTTTTCTGTGTCAGATGGCCTGGTCTGTGCTTGCGTAGTGAAGAACCAAGATTGAACTACAACCTCTTTCTCTCTGGTCAGTGATGCTGACTCCTAGTCTCAGTTGTTTCCCCGCATAGCGCGCAGAGGGAGCGGAGGACTCCAGAATGTTGTTGTTGTTGTTGTTGACTTCACATTAAACCGTATGCCAGTTGCTAAATGCCAAAATCTAGCAAAGACTCTCGGCCCGTGGTCACGAAAGTGCTGGAGCCATCTGAGGATCTAAAGAACACGCACACGTAGCAAGAAAAAGGTGTACAAGAGCCCGAAGAGGTACTACTACACCTATATATAATCCCTGCAGCACCGTACGCGTGCCCAAAACTGAACTACACGTCCGTCTCACCG